ACATGGTCCTGGGCAACTGGCTCTGGGTGTCCTTGCTGGAGCAGGGGGTTGGATCAGCTGGACCCCAGAGTCCCTGTCAGCCTCAGCCATTCTGTGATTCTGTATGGTGTGCGTTCTGGAAGAGACTTGATTGCACAGCATGACACGCAGGCATCCTGTAAGGAAGATGAAACTGTGCGCACTCTCATGTCTGTGTTCATACGTAGGCCCTGGAAGATGCTTTCTTAGCCATAGATGCCAAGCTCACCACTGAGGAGGTGATTAAAGAGCTCTCTCAGATGGCTGGGCGACCCCAAGATGATGAAGATGAGAAGGAGAAAGTTGCTGACGAAGATGATGGTAAGTCAGATGCCACTGAATAGACAAGACTGCAGCTCCAGGCCAGGGACTGAGAGCAGTTGGGCCAGGTCTCCTTTAGCAGAAGGTTTTCTGTCCAAATTTCTCAGTTAAATTTCATCTGGAGTTGAACTGCCACCCCTCAGCACTGTTTATTGCTTTGGGCTGGTGCTAGGAGAATTCTGATTCATTTGGTAGCTTAATCCTATGAACAACGAAGCAGTCTGTCACAGTGTTCCATAGGGCTTCCTCCATGGGGTGCAGAGTTCTAGGATGTGTCAGAAACCTCTGAGCTGGGAAGTGGGCGAAGTTGTGAGGTGAAACAGTGTGATGGCCCGTGCTTAACTCTGCCAGGCTGGTGGCAGACACCAGCTGCAGATAGGATTGAACTAGATTCTGGTCTCTTCAGCAATTCTTTTTCTCACAAAGCAGCAAATGTGCTTTTCTACCAGCAAGTAGTTGCTAGACCATGAAGCCAGCTAGAAGGTGAATCCCAGGGTAGAATCCTTTGCTGCTCTCGGCTGAATATCTTGTGACTAGCCTTGAAGCAGATGTAAAGTGATACCGTCACCTTGAACACTGTGTGTTGGTCTGAAAATGCTGAATTTGTGGGCCGTCATTCTCTAGCTGACAGGGACAAAGTGGTTTTTTGTTTGGTGGTTTTGGTTGGCTTCTTTTTGTCCTGTCCTTTCAGGAGTATTTGGGATATGAGTATTTCTTTTCCTTTTGGGATTAATTAGCAAAGATGATAACCAAGGGGATGTCAGTAGGGAAATGGTGGTCATTGGCTCATAGTTTAGGGAAAGTCATCCTGTTTTCTGTCCAGTGTCCCACTTGGGAGATACTGCATTCACATTTATTTAACTTTAAATGGCAACTCTTTTGCCGCTGAATTTGTATTAGACTACAGAAATGCCTAAAGCTGTTCTATCACCTCTTTGTAAGTGTCTGGATTACAGCTGGGCGGGATCCCTGTGGTCCTTAAGGCCCATAGAGCAACAAAACCTTCTTGTTCCTGGTTGCAGTATTAATGAACAAATCTGCACATGAAAGTGGTCTATCTGCTTCGCCCACAGCTTCAGATGAGCCTGCACTCATGAAATATGATTACCCTCCAACCTTACAGCTAATTTAAACGCTCTGTGCTGTCTACAAGTCAGCCAGATAGCATCAGAGGCTGGAGGCACGAGGGTAACTTGCAGACTGCATGCATCAGCTGTGGTTAGAAGCCATTCCCCTGCCATTTGCGTATTGTTCATCTGCAGCGCCTGGAAGCTGTGGGACGGTGCAGGCCTGGCTGCGTTTGTGCCTGCTAGTGATCAGCCTGTTAAGCGTTGCTGAAACCTTGTCTGCAATAGCAACCTCCAGTCAGGGCATAACCCAGCATGTGCTGCACAGCTGCTGCTGTGGTGATGTATCCTGCTTTCTGACCCTCTTTGTCCTCACCCCCCTCCCCCTTTCCATTTTTAGTGGATAATGAGGAAGCTGCTCTTCTGCATGAAGAAGCCACAATGACCATTGAGGAGCTTCTCACACGTTATGGACAAAACTGCACCAAGAACCTCAAAAACAAGTCTTTAGCTCCAGCTGGGGAGAACGCTGCAGAGGGGACAGGCAAGCAGCATGATGGGGAGTCAAATATGAATGGAGAGGCTGACCCAGGGGAGCTTACCGACCACAAGGAGAGGAAGAATGGGAAGCCAGATGAAGAAATCACGGGTATTTCCTCCACCTCAGACAAAGCCAGCGCTGGAGGCAACAGCCCTGCTCTGCAGAAGCCTGAACTAGGCAAAGGTGACGAGGCCGTCACCTCTTCTACTGGGGAGGCCGGGCCCTCCTGCTCCTCTACGGGAAAGCCCCAGCGCACAACCAAATCCAAATTTTTTGAGGACAGTGAGGATGAGTCAGATGAGGTTGAGGAAGAGGAGGAAGACAGTGAGGTAGGAAACAGCACTGGGACAGAGTGGCCTTCTGGCTGGGCAGAATGCATTGCTTACTGTGGTACTTGAGCTACGAGCCTCTGGCTCATCCTAGGTGTGTCCTAGGAGTAGGTTTTTCAGGCTGATACTTTGAAACCATCTCATGGGAGTGTCGGGGATTGTTTAGATAACCCTGAAGGAAACATACCCTCATCTGTGCAGCGGCCATAACGGATAGCCCTTGGTCTTGCTGCATGCACCATCCCTCCATTTGCTGTGGTAGTTGAAACTAGCTGCTGTGGTTATAGACATCAGGTGTGGGGAAAACGTACCAGGTCATCTCACTCTTCTGGGGCGAACTTATCGTCTGTCCCCAGGATGGAGGGACCAGCTGTCTGGGGAGGGCGCTGTGAGTGTCCCGTGTGACTCCTGGTGGTATCTCTTGTTTCTTGTAGGAATGCAGTGAAGATGAGGATGGTTACAGTAGCGAAGAGGCAGAGAATGAAGATGATGATGATGACACTGAAGAAGCAGAGGAGGATGAGGATGAAGAGGAGGAAATGTTGTTACCAGGCATGGAGGGGAAAGAGGAGGTGCACACCCTGTTCTTGTGTTCTGCAGCATAGTGTGGAGCCAAAGGCACTTGGTGGGGGGAACTCGGCAAGGAGTTATTTCTGTTCAGATGAGGATAAAACACCCCTTTTGTTCTCCTGAGGCTGAACACAGCTGCTGACAGCCTGACTTCAGGCAAAAGGTTGAGGGATAGGGCATGGATCTGGGCAGCAGGTTGAGATCAGAAGAGGCTGATCCCACTGCTGGGTTTGCTGTGTTTAGAAACCGCTGTGGGGGTTGGCATGGAAGGAGAGTACAGGACAGTAGCAGGACTGCTTGCTGGCACTGCTGCTCCTGGGCAGAGCGTTGCTCTTTGCCAGGCCAAGGCTGGGGCTCCTCAGCCCATGGCAGTGCTGGCGGATGGGCCAGGGACACAGGATGTCGGGAACAGGGGACTACAGCTTCCAAGGTGCCAACCTTCTCTCTTTGGAGAGATGTCCTGGCTTGCAATGAGGCTTCTGCTTGAGCTGAACTGGGGCTGGAATCGCCACATTAGAGCTGAGGGTATAGCAGGACATGTTGAACACTGGAGAATCCTGAATCGCTGATGCTTTGTGAGGCTGGAACAGAGGTATTGCTTGACGCCGCCTCTCAATGAACACACTCCTGCTGTGTTTCACACTTCCCTCAGGCTTTTCTCCGTTGTTCTGTGTGTGCTTATGGGAAGAAGGGATGAGATGCAGCACCTCAGGGTTTGGGACACTGCTGGGCCTGTGGTGGCTAGTGCGGTTCCCTTATTGACCTGATATGGAGCAAGAGAAGGGAGTCTCAGCAAAACCATTTGTTTCTTGCAGCCTGGCTCTGACAGTGGGACAACTGCTGTTGTGGCGCTTATCCGGGGCAAGCAGCTGATTGTGGCTAATGCTGGAGACTCCCGCTGCGTGGTGTCAGAAGGTGGCAAAGCTGTTGACATGTCATATGACCACAAGCCGGAGGATGAGGTGGAGCTGGCCAGGATAAAGAATGCTGGCGGCAAGGTCACCATGGATGGGAGAGTGAATGGCGGTCTCAACCTCTCCAGGGCAATCGGTGAGCAAGTCGGGGGTGAATGCTGGCATGCCTGGCTCAGAGTGCTGCGGTCAGGACAACCATGCTCCCAGCACTTGCCAGCCGCTAAGTTTAAGGAACAGTTTTTAACTGGATGATGAGTAGAACCTATTCAATATTTGATGTGGTGAGATTTCAGTCTAGTTAGAGAAAATGGCCGTGAAACTGGCAGACATCAGTGGAAAGCAACACCTAGCACCTACCAGGCTCCAGCGCAGGACGGAGTGTGTGAAGCCTCCAAGGCTGTTGTGCCAACAGCTGGGTTGTCAGAAATCACCTCATATAAACTGTCTCAAAACCAGACTGTTGACTTTTGAACAGGATTTTTTCCTGTTAGGAGGCTGTTGAAGGACCTTGGTATGTTGCTTCCTGGGGACCTAACTTTATACCAGTTTGAGCTCATGTGTTCCTGAGCCAGCCTTGCCTTTTAGTTGCACAAACTCCATCCCCCTTGCTGCAGTGTTTTAGGCAGCACCTGACTGCTGTTTGTATTCATCTTTTGGTCTTTTACAAGCAGTGTTGGAGTAATTAATGGCTTAGGAGACTGGGCATGTCTGTTAGTAGCCAAACAACATCTTGGCCCAGTCAATGGCTACAGTCTGAGCAGATGAGATGCTGGAAGTCATTAAGGAAAGGGTAGTGAATAACACTGAGAATATACTGCGAAATACACGGAGAACAGAAGGAAATGTCAGCAGCTAAGGGAGTGTGAGTGGAGAGCACTTGTGCAGAAAGACCAAAACCATTGAAATTATTATACTAGGGTAAAGAGATAAAAAGACATTTAGGATGGAAACTAAAGTCTGTTTATCTAGGGAGACACTGGCATTTTCACCTACTATTTTGCGGTGGTCCTAGAAGTCCCTTTCTGGGATGTAATTCCACATAAGCCTGCTAGTCAGAGCTGAGGATCAGTTTTTTCAAGAGAGCTTTGGCTACTGAGGGTTTGGGAAGACCTGAACCCAACAGTGTGATGTGGGCATTGCACTGAAATATCTGGCCCTGGACAGCCTGAGCTTCTGGAAAATGAGCATCTAGTGTTATCACAGCAAAGCCAAGCTAATGCTGGGGTGAGCTGCAAATCTTGCTCCAAGACATGGAATAGCTCATCTCATGAGCACTGCTGCAGGATCTCAGCCGGTGTTGTCAGATGCCATGTGCTGTTGGCCTGGTGTTGCCCCAGGAATTGGGGAGGTGGCACTTGGTTTGGGGTTAAGAGACGCCAAACTGGCAAAGGCACCTCTTTCCCATTGCACGGTAACAGCGTGTTGGGCTCGCCAAAGCTGATGCCTTGGACATGTGTCAGATTTCTCTGTCTGATGCACCCACAGCCTCATCTGCTCTGGTTGTGGGAGCACTGGCTCCAATTCTTCTGGGGTTGCCCTTTGGCAGGCCAGTGTTTCTCACTGTTCGGGGGTAGGCAGCATTGCCAGGGCCCAACCACAGCAAAAATTGATCCTCCTCTCCACTACAGGTGATCACTTCTACAAGCGGAACAAGAATCTGCCTCCAGAAGAACAGATGATCTCTGCCTTGCCTGACATCAAAGTGCTGACAATAAATGACGACCACGACTTCATGGTCATTGCCTGTGATGGAATCTGGTGAGTAGTGAGGGAGCAATTGTGCCTCTTGGGCATCACTACTCTGGTCTTTCTCTGGAGCTGGGCTTCAGGAAGGCCCAAGGGCCCTGGATGCTAATCAGCACTTTTTTGCCCATGACCTCAGAGTGTTAAGTTGGGCCCCTGAGGAGCTGTTCTCAGCTGGAGGGGTGTCACAGTGTGCTGAGCTCTGAACCCTCCTGCTCCTCACTGCACGCAGCCTTGGTTCCCATCAGCTCCCTGCCACAGCAAGGCTCTCTCGGGACACTATGGCATGACTGCTCCCTTCGCTGGTCCTTCTGACTTCTCTCTCTGCAGGAATGTGATGAGCAGCCAGGAAGTGGTGGATTTCATCCAGTCCAAGATCACACAAAAGGATGAAAATGGAATCCTGAGGCCGCTCTCCTCCATTGTAGAAGAGGTAAGGTCCAGAGCTTCACCATCCCTTCAGCACATAGTGTTTCTGCATCCCAGCTTGGTGCCTGACTCTACCCTCCCTCTCCATCAGACTGGTTTGTTCAGCACTTGGGGTATCTGGCAGCACACGGGCTGCAACGCTGGCTGGAACAGGAGCAGAGACGCCTCTGAATTGGGACCCAGTTCCTTTGGCACCCTGACCAGTCTTTCTGACCTCTAGGTTGCTGTCAAGCCAAAGGATTTTTGTCCACTTTCGGAAAACCAGGGCTGCTGAGGCTGTTTCTGTCCCTTGTCTAGTTGCGCACAGCATTTGAGCCCGGCCCGCACTGTTTTGGCCTGGCAGCCCCTAAGCTGCTGTCGGTTGCTAGAATGGGCCCAGTGTCTCAGGTTATTCAGAGTGCTGTGTCTGGGCTCTTTGCTAACCTGTCCTGTCCCTCCTCAGCTGCTGGATCAGTGTTTGGCTCCAGACACCTCAGGGGATGGCACCGGCTGTGATAACATGACCTGCATCATTATCAGTTTCAAACCCCGTAATACACACCCACCTGCTGAAAGTGGGAAGCGGAAACTGGAGGACATGGCAGCACTGGCAGCACCAGCAGAAGAGAACGGCGGTGATAACAAGAAGGCCAAGCTGGAATAGCAGGCCTCGCACAGGGACTTTGCTGTGCGCTCACCAGACTCTTGTTTCTTAAACATGCTGAACTCAAGACTCCGAAGTCTTGTCCTTTTTTTAGCCTTAGCAGAGGCCTTGTTTGTCCGTGTCCTGGTTGGGGGGTGGGGGGCGGGTCTGGTTAGCAAGGGCATGTCGCACTATTCATCTGTAACCATTCCAAAGAGGGAACCGAGGGCAGAGCTGCGCGCGGGAGCAGCCACCAGCCACAGCGCAGGAGCCCACTGCAGCTGGCAGCCTGTGAGCACAGAGCCCAGCGGTTAGAAGAAGGACGTCCCCCCATTGTCTCCATGTGGTTGTTGCCATTTCTGTGCCTGTGAATTTCTGTTCGGAGGGAAGAACTTTTTCACTGTTAAGGTTTTTTTAATCTGCACCTGATTATTTAAGGCCCTTTCTGTTTTTATTTGTGAAACAATCTGGCTGTGGTGCTGCTGCCACACCTTGTTCTGTTGTACACTTTCAATCAATACTTTTTTCAAACTAAAAGCCCGGAAAACGTAACTGTACTTCTGGTCCTTGGTTCTTTCCTGGAGGTGGGGGGTGAGGAAGGTGGGATGGGGAGGAGAATGTCTGTCCCTGGTGTCTCAGGGCGCTGTAGGGGATTGTGTCTGCAGCTCACAAGAAGCAGCTGGCTTCTGCCACGTGGCTGCAGAGCGCTAGCCCCTGCTGCAGCGCTTGGGGCTACTGCCACTCCATTACCCTGCTCAACTGAGGACAGTCTGTTGCACACGGAGCAGGAGACAAGTGTCTGGAGACATTGTGTCTGCTGAAGGGACAGGGGTACCAGTCACCCTCCTGAGCTAACTTGTCTGCAGCATGCGTGCTCCCTTCAAGGTGTGACAAGAGGCAGCTCCTACCTGGTGTGCTGGATGGTGTAAAGCTTGTACAACGTGTGTCGATACTGCAGCTGCTCCCGCAGGAGTGAAGTCGCTGGGCTATAAACCACTGATGAGAAGGTCGGCTGCTACTCCCTGCTGCTGTGCCCCCTCGCCCTTCCACCTGGCGTGGTGTGGAGCACAGGGAAGCAGGCCATGTCACCTGGTTTGCAGGCCATGTCACCTGGCACAACTTCCTCCAGCTGCTCTGGGGTTCCTGTGTCACAGGGGAGTGCCCTTGGCAATGCCTTGCACTGCAAGTCTTCCCTCTTTGAAGATGAACTCCACCCTCCTGGTCCTGGCCTGCTGTCTCAGCCTCTGCAGTTCAGTCAGCTCATGCCTCACCAGCCTGGATGGGTGCATCTTGCGTCATCTTTGAGCACCTTCCCTGGTGGCCCTCAGCTTAAGCCCCTGTGTCTAGTGGCTCTCCAGCGATGATGTGTCCAGACCCGATCTGTTTTGGTCCCTGGATCATCAAAGCTGGGCTCCTGCGGCCCTGCGCGGGGTTGGGAGTCCAGAGCCACAAACATGCAGGTGCTGCAGTCGGACTTGCTGGTCAGACTGTTTCTGCACTCAGAAACTTTCTGGATGAGCTGATGTGTTCCCCTAGAATGGTGCTGCCTGAGTAAAGCACCCAAGGAGAATTTTTTCCTTTGCAAAAGTGGGTTTCATAAGGTTCGTCTCGCTCTGGCTAAGGGGCAACTTGGTACCTGGTACTTCCTTCCTGCTACGAATGTGCTGGCCAAGTTGCCTCCAAAGGTTGAATAAACAGACTGAATTATCACAGGAATTAGCAGAATTATTTTCTCCAGTCCTAAAAGCATTTGTTATTTCTGAAGTCCCGCTAGTTTCCACACATCCTTTTTAGAACAGGGACAGTAGCAATGCTGTAGAGCCTTGTGCAGAAGGGTAAATCCCAGTCCTGGATGGAGTGCCTGGAGCTGCAGTGCCTGGGAGGCTGAGCCGAGAGGCAGTTTCGCTCAGTAGAGTTAAAAACATTGTCTGAATTGTCATGTGCCCACTGTCTCGTTCCGGCAGCAAGGCATCAGTCTCGAGAGGGTTTGGTCTTAAACTTTCTTCCTGGTCATTAAAGAAAGTTTTTGATACAGGACTTAGCACCAGCCTCTGTGGAGTCCCCTAAAATGAGTCTGGTTAGTGGTGATCTCACATTAGTCATTTGCATTGAGATGTAACTGGGTTTAGACCATTTACTGGGTGCTCTGTTGATGTTTTATCATGCCAATTTTTAATCAAAATGCTTTGTGGTATGTCATGTGCCATATCAAAGGCCCTTATATCTACAGTTATTTTCATTAACCTAGTGAAGCTGTTGAAAGAATAGAATCAGGAGTTTTGCTAAGACTGCCCCAGAGGTTACGACGAGAGCTCATCTCCACGAATGCAGAGGAGCCAAGGAGCGGTGCTGGGGAGGGGTCCTGCGGAGCCAGCGGAGCCCCTGGCCCGGCTGCCAGGAGGATGGTCAGACCCAGGGCTGCCTGAGGTCCCCGGGGGTCAGTGGGGGACACTGCCTGGCAGCAATGGGGGCTGCTGCCCACAGGGCTTGTGACTCGCTGTGGGATGCCAGGGTGGGGGGCACGTGGGGCAGATGGGATTGCTACGGGCTTTTTGGGAGAAGGGAGGGACTGGGGCGGGGGAGGAACAAGTGTGGGAAATAGAGGGATAAGGGAATGAGAGGGTCTATTTGCATGTAAGCAGGGACTAGTCAGTACACGAGTCTGGCCATGCCCTGTACCTGACCACCACAGTCTGCCCTGCCACCTTATTAAACTCCACCTTCAACTACTTACTTTCCTCCATGTGAGTGCGGCGGGGGAGTGGGGAAGTGTCTGTAGTGCCAGCAATGCACACACGTGTGTGCAAGCACCGCAAAGAGCAGCTGTACCAGCTGGGCAGTAGATGATGGCGCCTGGGAGCAAGGGAATGAGTGAGTCTCCAAGGGCAGCTCTGGGTGTGGGAACATGGCGGGGGGGCTACGGAACCGCAGGAGTCCTGGTTGGCTCTGGGTGTGAGTGCGCCTGTGCATTCTGGGGCAAAAGCACCTGGGGGAGGGCGTCAGCTGTGGGACCAGGGAGGGGACCTGATGACTTCTGGGTGAGAGATGGGCACCGCAGCAGCCGCACGCATCATGTGCTGGGGTCAGTGAATTACAGAAGTGTAGAGCACCGTGCAACCATGGATGGCTGAAGAAGGGCGATGGCATAAGCAGCACCCACCCACCCCAAACAGTACCAGTCCCTGCAACTGTGCTGCTAGACTCTGCTAAATGTTAAGCAGCTAAATGTTCAGAAGCAGCTTTTTCTCCCAAGGATGCTGCAGTGCAGTCAGACTCGTCATAGGCAGGATCCCACTTGCCTGAGACTGCGCACCCCATTTGGCTCAGGATGCCCACCCACAGTCTGTGGCATTACCACATGGTCCCTCCACGCTGGCCTGGCTGCAGGGTGGATCCCTGGTGAGGATCAGGACCCACAACCTCAAGCTG